GGACGTGATGTGACCTCTACCGCCAAGTTTATTACGGGGTATCAAATAACGATAGCATCTATACTCCGTTTGTTTGATGACCTTAGATTAGAAGGGTATAACAACTTGCTAACTAGACAGCTCAATCAAGACGTGACTGATACGTTATTCGGCCAAATTCGAAGCAAACGAAAAAAGCCGACCACCAGACAATTTATGACGGCTTTTAGGAAAATTTTCTTCACTTACATAATAAAGGCGGGTAAACAGGGAAAAGGTTCGAGTAATTTGTCACAATTACTTGTTAACACGGAGAAATTAGGATTCATTTTGGGAAGTGAGGAAGAAGAAATTCCTATGGATGAAGATTGTAATGAAACCGAGAGTACACCCTCTATTTCTAGTTCGGATTATAGTAAAATGGAATTACCAGAAGATAACAGGCTGAACTACGTCAGTGAATATTTGTTTAGCAAATGTGTGTCTTCACATGGTGACTGTCAAGAATTTACAGCGTACATTTTTTCCAAAGAACAGAATCAGCTTGACAACTTGAATGATAAAAATGCAAAACCTTATCCGCCAAATGATTTTCTAATTTACGTGGGGGAGATGGAAAAGTTATATCAGAACTTTTTCAACAATTACTACATCAGTCGTAATATTGTTAAGTCTATTTTCGATAGTTTGAACCAAATAGCATACATCCCACCTTGTAAGTGCTTCCCAATAAACTACCTAAAAATGTTATTTGTCAGAACCAGAATTTACATAACGATAAAATGTAATAACGAGGAGTTTGCTAAATGTAGAGCCGCGAAGAAATGTTTTTCTGTTGCCAACCTGTAAACTTATTAAACAGGAGTCCATATTAATTGATATTAGTACTAGCCATAGCAATTTGTACAATGTTATTTTTTTTAATTTATGTGCATAACCTCCTCTGCGATATTAAAATTATTTGTCTTAATGCAGAGAAGTTTTATTTTATTTCTTGGATCTAATTGATTAAGAATGTCGCACCTCCTCCAACACATGTAGACATGGTTCCACGTGTTCGTATGTAAAACTCAGTATCGACCGATAAGTACTTTGTACAACCTACAGCGTAGTGGCTACGACTGTGTCGATCCAGAATTAGATTAGGCTGAAATATAAAAAGGTTTCATGGCAGAGTAGTTACAGATCAGTATTAAATAAAAAAAATATAACAAAATATTAGAGATGATCAATAATCAATGGGCGGCAACGCACTCGTAACTTCTTTGGTGTTGTGGGTGTCCATGGGCGGCGTTGATTGCTTACCATGAGGTAATCCGTCTGCCCGTTTGCCAAGCTTTACCATAAAAAAGTCGCTAGTGTAATAAAAATTCAACTCACTGTTTATGAGGACACTCAAGCACAGATAATAAATCTACCATTCTCTGCAGTTCTGGAAACTGGTAACAGTTTTACGTAGTAATCTACATCGTGCCAAAATCAGAGCCAACCAGCTAAGCAACTAAGTAGCGATCATGTGAGGTTCCTATAAAGTATAAACGATTACTGACATCAACGTCCATCGTCAATCTACTTCAGTTCAGTTACACTTCAATTCATTTGCCACGGAACCCGTAAAATAGGATTTTATTTTCGTGACTAGAAACTTCCTTGCCAGGCGACCGTTAACGAACGCTTTTGAAAAATTTATCATTTGAGTGCAACGTTTAGTTGTCAAGTAATGATGACGCTAGGTTTAACGTTGTTTCTCATTTAAATACAAAGACGCCATATTTAATTATGAAATTTAAAACTTTGACAGGATGAAAAATTCCAAGAATGTTTCTTTTAACGTCTTTGAAATAAAATTAAGACTTAAAAAGAAGCGGGTTTTGAATTTAGTTTGGGGTTGTAAAAAAGTTTGTGGATAAGAAGACCTTTTGACCTTTCGTTGAGGTAGACAACCCGACTTAGGGATCTTTCTAGTGTACATAGCTCTACTTATAATACTTACTATGTTTGAATTTCGAAAATTGCTCATAAACATGTAATGAGCAAAGATAGTGGATTTAAGAAATATATTCTACTTCCGAATACAATATCTTTAAAATCTTGCATTAGTAGAAGGTGATAGATAAGCTATATACTTTCAATAAAAGATATAAAAAAGAAATATTTTTTATAGTTAACAATAACTTTATTACGAGTACATTTATATTTTTACAATCTATCTAGTATATACAGCATATATAATATTACTTATTTATTATTTACTTAGGTGTTAAATATGTTTTTATACCAAATCAGTAACGTAATTCTATACAGAACAATATGTTCATTTATTCCTAGTCATTTTAGAATTTTAGACATTACAACTATCTAGTTAACGTAAAAAGTAATTTTGACTTATTCCAAAATTCGTTTCAATACCCGGCTTAAAGGTACTAGAGTCTGTGAATCCTGTGACGTAAACAAAATCGTATTTACATTAACTTTATTCCAGTCAAGACAATGTTATTAAAAGATTTGATAGGCATAACATGTTGATTTGTCGTCTAATAAATATTCAGTTTCTCTTTAAATATTTTATCTTTTTGTTTAAGATGCAAAAAATTTAAACAAGTTTCATAAAATACGGATATAAAAAATCGTTTTAGGTAATAATAACAGAAAGAGCTATTTTTTTACAATACCTATTCAGATATTAGGCTTTTTGACGTTAATTTAACAAGCCAATCTCTAAAAAAATAACGTGTCATAGACAAACTAACAGACCTTGTGGAAGTACGTACGATTTTGTTTTCATTCACAGTGTTTGCCTACGTGCGAGCGATTTCACTGGTGTTGACATTGTTGCGAGGTATATTCGTGGGCCTGTTTATGTAGACGGTAGGGTTGTCGTGCGGGGGTCGCTGGAGGCGTCCCGGCGCCGGCGGAGGTGGGGGTTGCCTACCCTGCTCTATTCTGATCGGCTGTGGCTGGGCTACGATGTCCTGCCGAGGCGCCATCGCTGGAAATCGATTCATGTACTAGTTAGTAGAGGAAAAAATAAATAAAGATAAATGGAAATGTCTTCTAATCTTAATTATAATTAACTGTTATATAGAACATGGGATTATGGTAGCTTTTCTAAGTAATAAGTTACGATGAAGAATTTATATTGAGCTCTTAGTAAGATATTTATTTGTATAATAATATAACTCTGTTTACTCGTGTTATCGATTCGCGTATGATACATGATAATTTTATCCGATAAGACGGCTCGTCCTTGTGTGAATGTTACATCTATTCTCAAAGAAAATAAGCGAAGCGAATAACGTCCTATGTCATTTATTTGGACGTTGTTGTTTTGTAGACAATTTCCATTTTCTATGTTAATTTTAATGATGCTATTAAAGTTTTCGTGATATTATTATTATTTGTCAGTATAATCATATTTATTTAGGTACATGAAACTCGAATCGTAAGATAAAAAGTAGAAGAATTTGCGGGTCTATTAATTAAAACCAATTGACGCACGAATTCTTTATGCGTTCAAAATTAATAAATAGGTATGGCAAATTTTTTCAAATATCTAGAATGTCAGTTGTAGAACTGTTTGTGTGGGGATTAATAATATTGTTTTTTTCTTCAAATATTCTTGCAATTTATTAAAGTTTTCTGACCAAGTTATTCAAAACTCCCTGCACATAGAAACTTCCAGGGCAGACATTTTTAAGACAAACAAAATTAATCAATTCAAAACAACCGTTTCAGAGTTACCAGTAATAAACAAATAGCAATTCCTTTTTGTATAAGTACATAAAAAAAGAAAATGTTTTCATAAACGTTTTTTTTTTAATTTTTTCGTGAATGTTCTCGATTTTTGTTCTGTGTGATTTGTGATTACTCTATTGTAAAAACGTATAGAATATTCTTGCTTGAAGTATTATGTAGACACCACAATCATATCGCGTTTTTGTCTTATCACGTCTGTGATTGTAGCGGTATTATTTAATAAATACATAATATCATTGTTTTTCTACAAATAGGATAATAATAAAGCAAAAATTTGTAACAGATTTTTACTAAATCTGAAATAGCTAATAACAAAAAAAAATATAAGTATGGATTAAAAAAAAATGTTTGGTCTGTAACGATTTAAAGTAAACATCATGTGATTTGGTAGGTACTCACCTATTTGTTATTTAGAAACTCAAATGAATTAATTTATGTCCTATTTATTTATTAATTTATAACTTCAGACACGTAGTTAACTTGAAAAAAAAACACGGCGCACAATTTTCACTGAAAAAAGGTAATAAATTTAACTATTAATTTTGCAAATTAAAAGGTGGTTTTGTGGGGTCTCCCGCTGTGTGGGATGTTATTGTGAAAACATGCTACTTCGCATATAACACTATCTTTCTGATATGTTATCTCAAGTGTATTTATCACAGCAGGCTGTAAATAATTCAGGTATTTTATCATTTGTAATAAAGACTTTCAATGAGAATTAACATTTATATCTTTATAGGGAATAACCGGGAGGAAACGATGATTTATTTCTTGATTTAAGAGTAGATAAAGTTTTTAATAATTTTATTAAATACCCGTTACCTGCAGTCGTAGTAAATTATAAGCTTTCATGTCTGCTTTTTACATATGCAATTGAGATCAATACATAGTGATACGTGATTGTTACACAAAGGAAAAATGTGAATTATGGAAATTCATTAATACATAGGTACTAAGCAGAGTAAAAAATGCTATATTCCATCGTTTTTATTTATTTGATGATGATTGATTAGTTTTTATGTGTCAGTATAGAATGTATCTTTAAATATTGTAATGAAAATTCAGGTTGGTTCATCACATCACAAATAAACAAATTAAAAACAGAAGCATCTTATTGAAATAAAAATGAATAAACTTTCTTTACTATCTGTCCATTTTAAAATAAGCAAAAAGCTTAGGTTTCTATAGACATAGAAAAATAAATGACAAGAATACATTTGTCTCTGGTTCATTCAACTGACAAGCTTCTAACAGTGACAGCATCACTGTCATATAGTCTAATGTCAATTCAATTTGACGTTCGTTAAATGTGGTGAACTTCACGTGGTTCTCGAAGTCGATATTTCTTATTTATTCTAGAAAATTGTCCGGCGACAGGTGATTCATGTTATTGAATAAAAGCGTTGTGATCTGTATTTATCGCTAGTGTTGAAATAAAAGTTCGTTAAGTAAGACATTGTTGGTTGAAGTGAGGTTGAACTCGCGCGTGTGAAAACAGAATCAGTCAAAATGAGTTCTAATAATCATCCACTACCAAATCAACAAAATGCGATTGCGAGTCAAGCGAGTGGACAGATGGTGGCAGCGCCTGCAATGCTGACCTATCCTGGCAACAGTAACCAAGTCAATAGTGGTGTACGTAATTCGAGTGATCTTCAAAATACAAGTTCACAAGGTTCCACGCAGAAACGTCCACCAAGGAATTTGCAGGTAACTAATTTTGTTTATAAGAAATTATAAGTTATGAATTTTAGTTGTCATTGCATAATTTTTTGGTGTAATGTTTTTTAAGTTTATTTTGGTTATTTATATTAAATGCCTGTATTTCTACTATCTATCCTTATAATTTGTTTACAAACATTGTGTAAATTAGGTTATGTTTTAATTATCACCTACCACTATTAATACCATTTTTGTTACTTACAAATTACAAAAACTATATAATTGAAAGAAGTGAATTCTATTGTTTTATGTATACTAATATTACAAAGCTGTAGAGTTTGTTTGAACGCGCTAATCTTCAGAACTACTGGTTCGAATTTAATCATTCTATTTGTGTTTGATAGTCTATTTATCAACCATTTATCTATAAAACATTACACTACTATTTGTAGGAACCGAGTGACGAGAGAAACTGTGTGAGAAAAGTTACTTTGCAATATAGGTACTCCTTATTGAAGTTTTTATTATGGTGTTTCCAGGGTCTGCTGAAGTTTGCTATGGAGGCTACACAAGCTGAAGATGCTCCTGGCAACAAAGATTTGACACCAATGGATGAAGAGGTGTGTATATTAAATTATCAGTTCATTTTCAAAGCATTAGCCCCAGTGGCTCACATACTATTTATTCAAAGTCAAAGCCAAAATATTTTTTTCCAAGTAAACCTTAAATAGGTACTTTTGAAACTTCAAAATGGAAAAGTAGGCTGTCAGTCTGTTCATCAGTGAAGCTAGGTAGCTAGCAGGTCCAAATTGTAGATGTATATTGTAAAATTAATAATCAAAATTCTAATTAAAGAAAGTGTAATACAAGATTTGAATCTGATGTTTAACTTGCAATCTCACCAGTATTTTTCATACTACCACTATATACTACAAAACAAAGTCATCATTGTATATGCTCAAATCTTTAAAATTACACAATGGATTTTGATGCAATTTTATATCTATAGATTGTGATTAAAGAGGACAGTTTATAAGCATAATAACACTCATTAAATAGTTAAAGAATTTACTATCAGCGTTGCAAATCAGGGCAGGTCTCTAGTTTAATATATTTCAAAGTAAAAATTGTAACTGTAACATTCCTATGTATTATTACAGAGGCGAAAATTCCTTGAAGAGGCCATAAAAAGTTTGACAGTGAACATAGCGGAAGTCCTGGACAATGCCATCAAAGTACTGACAAACTCTGAGAAGATTAACAGCATAAATGAGGATGAGCCTTTACCTGATGAGGTGAAGAACTCGTTCACTGTGTTAATGGATCATGTTGATGATCTGGATGTGGCTAATGGTAGGTTTTCATTGGCATGATTGTTGTGTCAGTAATATTCATGGGTTTTGGTAGGAGAGTATCTAGCTGGAGTTGTGCTTACAAGTGCTTTGATCTGCTTTGTGCTCGTATCGCAGATGCAGCACAAGGAAAGAGGAGGGTTTTAGTCAGCAAGGGCCTGATACACCCTCTCCCATCTGCCAGGAGGGGGGGGGGATTAGCTGAATGATTTTCCCTCATCAAAAAAATATTTTTTCAATTGAAACCAGTAGTTCCTGAGATTAGTGTGTTCAAACAAACGAACTCTTCGGCTTTATTATATTAGTATAGATTTGTAACCTATCATGTTTATTAATAGATGCTTTTCATTTTTCAGATTTCTTCAAAATGGGAGGATTTGCAATGTTCCCGATAAGCTACGGTAGCAAGAATTCGGAGTTAAGGGCTTATGCCAGTTCGGTGCTGGGCTCAATTTGCCAAAACAATGAGTTCTGCCAAAAGAGGGCGCTCGAGTGTGGGCTGCTGCATGTTCTTCTCAGCTTGGTGGAGAAGGAAGAGGGACCAGCACTCGCCAAGTGCTTATACGCCATTTCATGTAATTTAATTTTTTATTATTTTATGTAGGACGTAACATTAATTCATATTTTATATCCGCGTGCGCCTCAAAGAGCCAATAGACCACCATAGACGGGGCTCTATCTGGCTGATGTTCAGCCAAGGTTGCGGGGCAAGCGCAAGGGGCACCGCGGCCTCGGCTCAGAGTAGGAAAAGGAACGGAGGGGGTTTTTTAGTCAGTAAGAATCTGACACTGTCTCGCCTTACCCATGGCGGGAGAAGTCATTTGATAATTTTCCCCTGAAAAAAAAATAGTGTGACCATTTGTTTTGTTTCTTGCTTCCACAAGCGTTACTGCTTAGCAAGCGTAACTGTTTAGTAACTGTCACGATCCCAATTTAATGTAGACATACTTCAGAATCTATGCTATCATACATCTATGACCAGAGGATGAAATAAAGTAATCCATTTTTTCCATTTTTTTCGTTGAATTTTTGATATAAGTAAAGTTTTCAATTCGAAAATACATACTTTGAATAATAATTCTTACAATGTTTATCTTTAACGGGTGAAATTATTTTTATTTTTTTAAATTAAAACTAGTCCCACTGTGACTAAATTGTCTTTGAGAATATCTATGATGACTTGCCTCAATCACCTGAGAACATCTGCAATTAGTTTATGTTAAAACCTTCTTCGTCTCGTATTAATTATTGAACCGTTGAAATTGACAAAAGGCCATTGATTTCCAGGTATGTGTCGTGGCTATGAGCCGGCTTGTCAGGAACTAATCACACAGGGTGGATGCCCTGTGCTTGTGGATCTACTGAACTCCACGGACTTAGCAGCCAAGACGAAGGCAGCATTCCTCATCAGATACTTTGGACAGAACTATCCTGATGCTAGAAGTAAGTTCTTTAAAAATATTTTAAACTAGCTTTCGCCCGCGCCTTGCCCGCGTGGTATGTTGATAAAAAGTAGCCTATGTCCTATTCTGAAGTATTTCGTATGCCTCATTACATCCGGCAGATCCGTCCAGCCGTTTTGACGTGATTAAGTAACAAACATCCAGGCATCGTAACTTTCGCATTTATAATTTAAGTAAGGTTGTTGTTGAAGTTTGTGTTTTATTTTTTATCGTTTTTATATGATTGCGCAGTGACTCGGTAGTCAATTGTCGTGCAACAATTTATGCACTCAGTTCCTGTTTGGACTTTTAGTGTGATCCACAAATTATTGTTCCAAGTCTGGGTGTGATGTGTATGTGAAATTGCATGTTTGTAAATGCACCCACGACACAGGAGAAAATCCTAGTGTGGGGCAACGATTTTATATATAAAATATTAATTACTGAATTATGTTATTTAAAGTAATCAAGCCTAAATCGAAATAAAATTCTCTGAAGTGTTTAGTCCTAGGACTTTTTGAACCACCTGACAAAAGTATTTTGAAAAATATTTTCTAACATAATTTCCATTATTTTCAGGACAACTACTAAGGCACGACATCGTGAAAGTCATATCTTCACAATTACAAGCTGGTCGGAATGAGAGCTCGGAGCACCTCCTCAGCATACTCCAAGTCCTCGTCAGTTCCAAGGATCCCACTACCTTAAGACTCTTCAGGGACCCAAGTTACAACCTTAAGAAGGTCCTAGAAGACTATCTCAATTTACCAGAATTAAAAGATGATAGGTTCTTTGAAGAGAAACAGTTTTGTTCAGAAATACTAAGCACTGTCTTTGCAAATCAATCTTCCGTTGAAGAACCAGCTAGATAAGTAGTTTCCTTACTTGGTTTATCATTCATCATCGTCATCTGTTACCCAAGGACTTAAGTTCTGATGGATATCTTCAATAACCTATGTGTAGATTTCCTAACTAGAGATATGTAGAATTTACACAGCGTTGTGTTTCGCCGTGTGAGTGAGGTTACCGGATACCCTAATCCCAAAATCTCTAAATCCCTAACCTCCAAAAGATCGGCAACGACACCCGTAACTCCTCCGTTGTTACGGGTGCGTGTCCGTGGGCGGCGCTGATTGCTTACCATCAGGTAATCTGACTGCTCGTTCGCCGACCTATCACATAAAAAATAACCGTAACTGTGTGAGTTATGCTTCTGCGTGAATGGGCCGGCTCGACTGGCGTGATACCACGATTAACAAAACATGTTGTGCTGCGCCTCGTGAGGTTCCCGTAGGCCTTAAGTCCTACCCATCCCCGAATCTGCAATTCTCTCAAAATGAAAAAACAGTCTATTTTCTGTAAGCAAATCTACACAAAGGTAGGTTTAGTAAGACTGACCGTAAGCAGGTAACTTTAATCACCAAACTTGGCGTCCAGATCGGGGATTTCGGGGTCACGAAAAAATTGTATGATGCTATCTCCGTTGGCTGGTCTCAACTTTAGTTTATAATTTAATAACATCTTCATTATAAGTACAGTGCGGTTGACGTATCTTGGCGAGTCTGAAGTTAGCCGAAAGATCCATTGCGCAGACAAACGGCTAACTTCAGACTCGCCAAGATACGTCGGCCGCACTGTACATGCTTGTAACTTACTTTTTGCGGGACTAATAATTTTCAAGGGCTTAAATTAGAAACAGATCTCGATATGAAATTTGTAGATAATAGTTAACTAGCAATCCCCCCCGGCTTGGCATGGGTGCAATGCTGATACTAAATATCTCTACTATTTCATGAATGTTAATATACATATAAAGTAAGACCGACAATCTATCTATTAAAAAAAACACGTCAAAATCCGTTGCGTAGTTTTAAATTTTTTTTTTTTTTTTTCCAAAACTTAGACTATTTTTACAGGTTTTGTACCCATATAAGCGAGATATAGGGATATAGGGATCGAGAAAACGACGTTGTACCGATTATAATAAAACTTAACAGCCAAATATCATGGTTTAAAAACTTTAAGGGACATTTTCGTAAAATTCAGATAGACAGAGAGGCAATTTTTTCTTGATTTACTTAAAATCGCTTATTCGAAGAGAATTTCGAAAATGTAATTGATAAAGTTTTAGACTTTCAAAAGAAGTCAAAAAGTCAAAAGTAATTTCAATTAAAACATAAATAGGTACTTGACTTTTCGTCGTTAGTTGTGGAGGAAATGCACGTGTTTTTATCGGTACTACGATTGTTGTCAATTTTAGTACCTAATCTTATTCATAGTGTTCTAAATTGAAGCGTTTTGTGTTGTTTTTAATAACAAAATATCACAAAATTAAAGTTCTGCGGGTCTATAATCTGTCGTCGCTACTTGACACCGGCTGTATAGTCGACAACATTAAATTAGAGACTCGGTCGCTATCCAAGGGGAAAAAATATTGTAGAAAGAAAAGGGACATAGTATTAGTTTGGCAGTCTGTTCGTCAGTGAAGCTAGATGCTCGTTCTAAAGTATATTTTGGAATAGAGAAGAACGAGGAAGAAACCCAAAGAAACCTAATCGTTAGTCCTTTAAAAAAGTACCTTTTACAAGTTCACCAATGCATTTTTTAATACTATGTATAGAGTTTCTAACTTTTGTATTAGGATCTGTTTTTAAAATTGGCCCTAAATGTATAGTGTATATAAATTTGTACAGCTTGGCAAAAAAGAGTGTGGAATAATAGCAGTCGCTACTGCTTCTGTCTTATTCTGTGGGTCCCCAAATACTGTGGGTTTACCTGACACCCTCATGTATGAAAAGTGGGCACCTTAACCTCCGGACTACCACGGAACAGTGAGCATTAATCATTGCGAATTAATGTAAAAACAGTGAGAATAACTCAGTGGAATTGTTTTTTGTCACAGAAATAATTTGTAGTTTCATTGAATGTTTTAGTAGTGTTGCCACAACCATAATTTTGTAGTTCCAAATGTTACCGCATCAGAGTCTTTCTTGCCAAGCTGTTTGTTTATATTTTGTTATTATTTAAGTCTGATTTTTCGATTGTTAGATAAAAGTTACCTGGGGAATAATTATGATGCTGTCGCGTCAGAATGTTTGTATAAGAAAGTGACAGCAACAATTTTATTCCACAGATAACATTTATCTGACTATTGATTGTTGAATTCTTAGTTTTTTCCTAAAATACAATTTAGGTTATAATTAAGATCGTGGCTATTGTGCGTAGATATGTGATTTGATGTGATGTCTAGGTTTTTCTATGTTTTTAATGTTGGTACAGAAATATTTTCCGTTTCATTGTTATTATGTTTTTGGTTCATAAACTATTAGAACTGATATTTAATCTACAAGTCACACGGAAAGATCTAAAAATATACTGTCAGTTGGATAATAGGTACTATAAAGTATTTACCTGTATAGGTACATTCTAAGTTGTTTGATTTAATAATGTGTGTTCTTTTAATTGCATTTATTAATTAGTACCTGATTTATAATACATTTTTGGAACGGTCTATCGCTTTCGGTAAATAACGAAATGTAAAAAAATATGTAGAAGCGATTCAATGGTTAGATAAAAGTTATCTGGGCAATAATTATGATGCTGTCGCGTCAGAAGGTTTTTGTAAGACAGTGACAGCAACAATTTTATTCCTCAGATAACATTTATCTGACTATTGAAAAATCAGCCCTAAATTGGAATAATCTTTCTATGTATTTTATACGAACTCTTTAATAAAAAACGACTTACCAAAATTGTTTAACTTTAGTTAACCACCTAAAACTATAGACCATATTTTCAAATAAGCATAGATAACAATTATGTAGAAATATGTTTAATATCTAAACATTTTAAGCTTACTACGTTACGATCTGCTTATATTCATACTATAAATAATAAAAAGTATAGGTACCTAATATTACCTTAAATTCAGGAACAATCTATCAATGAAATCTATCAATGTGTCACACATAAAGTTTTGTTATTGACTTATTTGCTTGTACATAATGTATAAGAAAGACTAATAAGTATTTAATAAATAAAGTATAAGTTAATTAAATTATTGATTTGTTTTATTGATCATTGTCATCATGTTCATGTTATCGCCTGACGCGTCCCTGAATCCCTTGGTAGCAACGTATGCGTGAAGGTGGCCCAAATCTAAATGCATATGCCATTCTAAGTTACATATTAATACAGTCCACACACTCGTCATCACAAAGAACCAGCTATCAGTAGAGCATCAGCCTCTTGGTGGCCAAAGTACACGAGTTTCTGCTACGGCCGTAACAAAATAACCACTTATTAAAGAAGTTACAATAATTTTTGGTTTTGGTGAATGTAGAATGATCCTCATTTACCAATAATAGTATTACTGTTTCGATAAAAAATGCGTATCAAAATGATTCTTTGAAACTTTTTATTTTATCAGAATGGTAGGTTAAGTTGTGGTAGAACTGCAATCCGCACGGTAGTCGAATTATCATCACATATAAACCGTTACAAAAGTTGTATTGATTGTTTTCAATACCGTTGATTTTGACATTTTGCTCGGTATACTTAGCTCTCTTAATGTATCTCCAACGTCCATTGATTGGTTTCACAGTTACCTGTACGGGCGCCGGCAACGTATTCGTATTGACGATAAATGTTCGTCGTGGTGCGATATGACAGCTGGTGTGCCGCAGGGAGGCGTTTTATCCCCATTACTTTTCGCTATATTTATAAATTCAATCTCTAACAATCTTCTTTCTTCCTATCACCTTTATGCAGATGATCTACAAATCTATTCGCAGGCTCCTTTGTGTCTACTATCGGAAGCCATTGCAAATATTAATAAAGACCTAATGCAAATAGCTGAGTGGAGTAGGTATTACGGGCTTAAAATAAACCCTTTAAAGACTCAGCTTATCATCATAGGTAGCTCACGAATGGTCTCGAAAATAGACTGGTTCCACCTTCCACAAGTTATTTTCGACGGAACCCAGATACCCTTTGTCCATAAAGTGAAAAACCTTGGGATATATATGGACAGTAGAATGTCTTGGGAACCGCAGATGCAGGAAACCAGTAAACGGTTATTTGCATCTGCGCGATCTTTGAGATGGTTGCGGAACTTCCTGCCCACTGCCACAAAAATTGCGCTTGCACAATCTCTTCTTCTTCCTGTTCTTGACTATGCTGATGTCAGCTATCTTGATCTTACAGAGGACCAGCTGAATAAACTTGAACGTCTTCAGAATGTCTGTATAAGATTCATATTTGGTTTGCGCAAGTATGATCATGTTTCAGAATTTCGTATCAAACTCAAGTGGCTTCCAATAAGGCTTCGTCGGAATGCTCATATATTATCCCTGCTTTACAATATTCTTTTCCACCCTACCACCCCCTTTTATCTCAAAAATCGTTTTGAGTTTGTTAGTGATACTCACTTAAGATCTCTTAGGTCATCGGAAAACTTAAAATTTAAAATGCCAATGCACTCGTCAACTTTTTATGACAAGTCCTTTACGGTGCAAGCTACACGTCTATGGAATGCACTGCCAGTCACTATTAGACGTGCTCAGTCACTTGCCGTATTTAAGAGAATGGTGAAGGACCACTACTTGGCTTGTTAATCCTGTCATCACACTGTACCTATACTTTCTAATCACTATCAATTTTATTTATTTATCATTTTTGTTCTTTATATTTTATGTTCTCATATTATGTATGTATATGTATTTATCTCAATGTATGCCATTAACTGCCCCGTTCCAACCTCTTCTACAGTTTGATTCCATCCAAAGGTTGTCTGGAAGAGATTGCTTTTTAGCGATAAGACCGCCTTTTGTACTCATGTTTGTTTGTTTTTATATATTTTTTATGTTCTTGTCCTAATGGTGTACAATAAAGAATATTATTATTATTGAATCAGATATTCAGTCAGTCAATA